GGGGGGGGGGGCACACATGAGGCTCAGGGTGTGCACCCACTTCCCTGCCCCCTACTTTCCTCCTCAAACCTCAGCCTTTGTGCCCATCAGCAGGGATAACAGGGGCCAGGAGCTCTGTGGATGCCCAGGTACGGGTGGCTGTCATTCCCTCCCTTGGAACTCCTGCCAGTGTTTGTAGATGGGGGTGAGGGTGCAAGGAGGAGGGACGAGGTCTAGCAGGGACAAGTGGACACCTGCTGGCCCTGGAGGTACCCTCCTCCAGCTGCTCACTGGGCTGCCCTCTCCCTCCACTCCACTTTGAGGTGACTCCTCCTCACTGGTGTCCCTCGGGTCTGCTCCACCCCAGCAGCCCAGCCTCCTCTCAGTGGCCTGGGGCTCAGTCTGTCCCAGATTCCCTGGGCACTGCCTGGCTGCCCTGGTCCTCAGGATGCAGGCCCTCATGATCTCTGCAGCCTCTTTCCTCACTGCAGGTCCCAGCCCTGGGACTCCCCTCCCGCTGCACTGACTCTCCACCTAGCACAGACACCCTGTGACACAGGGCTATTTGGGGTCAGCAGAGCCTGCCCCTGGGGGCTCACCTTTCTTGGAGCATAGCCACCCAGGTGTTGGGGTCCACTCGCAGGGTGCACACGTTCATGGAGGCGCTGGAGCTGCCAGACACCGAAGCCCCACCTGAGAACTTCCCTTGTCCTGGGCCCACCAGCTCCATGCTGCCCTGCAGCTGCCCATCCACAGCATCTTGGAAGTGGAAAGGACCGACACACTCTACCGCTGAAACAAGACCAGAGCTGAGGCCCCCCCCCGCCTACCAGGCCTGTCCCACCCAGGCATAAGGACCTTTGAAAAGGCACTGCCCTCTGGGAGCAGAGAGCCCAGAAGCCCAGAGCAGGCAGAAGGCTGGCAGTCCCATTCCTTAACCAGCAGGGCTCCGATTCAGTGCCAGGTGGATACCTGGCTCTGGGTCATTGGGCTCCAGGATGTCTCTGATGGACAGGTTGACACATGTGTAGCGGGGTCTCCAGAACCATGAGCTCGAGGGCTTTCTGCCCAAAAGGCAGTAGGGCTGGAAGTTGGTGGAACTCCGCAGGCTATCCACGGGGATAAGCTCTCCACTGTGGTCTAGTTCCCGGACCACGCTCTTCACCACCCGCTCAAAGGCTGACGCCATGTTCCTAGGAGGGCAGATGGGTAAGACACTGCACCCTCAGGGCTGGAAGGGCAGGAGTAGGGATGGGAAAACAGTTGGCACTTGGATGACTCCAATGATGGGGAACTCTTCTCCCGAAGCAACCCTGCATGGTCAGTCTTGGGATGCTCTGACGGACAGAAAGCACTTGCCCCTGACCATCACCCAACACAGAAAGAAATGCTGTTCTCCCTGACATCCACCAGGCCACCTCTTCAAGAGGCTATAAGCACCTCCGGGATGGGACGTCACTCATAACCCTCAGTGGGACTCAGGCCATTCACATTATCTGTTCTGGGACCAGAGTGCCCAGACAAAGCCCAATAAAGTCCTAGACCATCAGTGATGGGGGACAGGGCAGCTTTGGGCCACCCATCAAGGCCTCTATCACTTTGTCAGCCCAACACGGCTTAGGGACACCACTGAGGGAGGGCAGGGCAAGGGAGGGGTTTTGAGGTGACCCCTAGGCCGTTGCTCTATTTGCTCTAGTCGCTGCTCCCTAGCTGAGGTGTCCAGAGTGTGGGGGAAGAAACAGAAGTCCCACCTCCCGGGTACCTGGCACATGTGCCAGAACATCGGACTCCTCTGTCCGGAGCTTCATGAGCCACTTTTCTAAGGCTGAGGCTTCAGGGGTTAGAGACCAAAGCTAACTTGACCCAGGATGCAGGAGACCTGGGCCCCAGAGAGAGGAGCTGCCAGCCAGTTCCCCTCCAGTAGGAGCTCTCTGAGCCTCAGGGCTGGCTTGAAATCAGAGAGTGGGCAAAGGGGTGCCTGGAGGGCCCACCCTGCAGTCAAGCCCAAACCCAGTCCAGCTGGTGAGGGGGCTGCCTTCCCGGGGCCCCTGGGCTTCCCCAAGTGGGTCTGGGATTGTGGGGAGTCCTGAGAGGGTGCTGAGACCAGGTTGGCCCATAAGGACCAGCACCCCCCCACCCAGGGCGAGTGAGTAGGGTCACCGGGGTGCCGGGGGTGTGGGGCGCAGCTCACCGTGACCGGCACCCAGGCTGTGGCCTGGGCTGGAGTTGTGTGCCTGTGCTCTGGAGCTGCCAAATGAGCGCTCAGCCCGCGGGCTTGCGGACCCAAAAGTGAAACCTGCAGACGCTACGTGGGACCGCCCGGCGCTCCCGGAAATGACCAGAGCCAGGCCTCGCCCCGCCAGCTGAGCCTTCTCTGTGGTTTCTTTCCAAATCTCCGGGGCAGGCGGAGGGGTGAGCAGACATTTCTCCAGAGAAAATGTACAAACAGCCAACAAGCATATGGAAAGGTGCAAATCAAACCACGGGGAGACGCATGTCACACCCACTAGGTGACTGGCCAAGTGCTGGGGAGGGAGCAGGAACGGGCCTCGCTCTGCTGTGCTAGAAACTCAGCAGCAGGACATCCGTCTGGCAGTTCCTCAGTGAGTGAGACAGTTACTGCCTGCCCCATCCAGTCCAATCCTCGCTGTGTGTACTCAAGAGAGATGAAAACACATCACTGCAAAGCCTGAACACAAGCAGGATGCAGCAACAGCCCAGTTCATCCACCAAAGCACTGATGATGAAAGTGGGGCAAACCCACTCTGTGGAGGACAGGACGGAATGGCAGTCAGCCCCCAAAAGGAGCCAGGTTCTGGTACTGGGACAACACCCATGAACCTCAAAACATCACTCTAATTGAAAGAAGCCAACTCAGAAGACCATGTGTCACCAGACTCATGCATATGGGATCTTCACAGCAGGAGAATCCATACAGACAAAGTACACTGCTGGTTGCCAGGGGCTTGAGGGGGGAGTGACAGCTATAGGGACATAGTTTCTTTTGGGGTCATGAAAATGTTCTGATTGTGCTGAAGGTTACACAACCCTGACTGTGCTAAAACCCAAGGAGTTTTACACTTTAAATACGTGAATTATATGGTACTTGAGTTATATCTTACTAAGGCTGTTATTTCGACAATCTGCAGCCAGGCCCATCACAAGCTCCTCTGCACCCTTACTGTCCTGGGTCACTAGCGAATCACGCTTGGTGCAAGGCAGAGGGCCCCACACCCCTCCTTCTGCTCCACAGCTTGCCTCTCAGCCCTTAACCCAGGATACTCTGCAGCCTGCACCAGGGCTGCTGGCCTGACACTCACCCTAAAAGCTCTGCACACTTGTTCACTCAATCAACACGTGTGTATCAGCACCTAACTCAGGTGCTATACCCATGGGGGCTGTCACTGTGAACCAGAAGGTGACTTCCCATGCTGGCATGTAGCAACTGCAGTAACTGGAAAAGCCAATTCAAACAGAAAGGAAACATTGTCTTGTACAAGCAGAAGTCCCCAACTGCTGCATACCCTGGGCAAGACTCAGCCAGGTGCAGCTCTCCAGGGAAGGGGGGGGGGGGCAGGCAGGTGGCTGGCCTGCTTCAGTGCCTGCCTGTGGTCTCTCCTCATGCTGGGGGCTTAGGGTGGAGGCCTGTGACCTCTGCTGGCTGAGGGCCTGTGGGGCAGCTTGGTGAGGGGCTCCCAGCTCTGGTCCAGACCCTGGAGCCACTTGCTGGTGTGAGAGGACATCTTTGCTGGTGGTGGCAGGAGGTTCCAAGAGCCTGAGTAGGGCTGAGTGTGTATGTGTTTGTGTCCACATATGTGCATATGTGTGTATGCACATGTATGTGTATTCATAGGTATGTTTTATGTAGTGTGCTTGTGCATGCAGCTGTGTGTGTGGGGGACTATTTGTACATGTTGTATGTGGATGTGTGTTGGGGCCACTGATGCTGCATGCTGGTCCCACCAGAACATCCCCCTCCTCCAGCTAGGCCTGCTTCTCCCTGTTCCCCAGGCAAAGCTCTGTGTGGCCTCCAGTCCTGCTGCTCCTTATCACTACTTCCCCAGTGGGCTGGCTCCAGGCCAAGGTCAGGAGGTGGCAGCCTCCTCAGTGGGGTGACCTTGCTGTGGGTTTCCAGCAGGGGTGCGACCAGCCTCATTGATTTTTCTGGGAGGCCTTGGCTGCTGCATGGGAGAATTGGGTGGAAGTGGTGGCACAGCCCTGGGGCTTGGTCTGAGGCAGAGGTGCCAAGCAGGTGCCATCTGTGCCCACCTGCCTTGAGGCTGTGACCCGGGCTGGGTAGGGCAGGACCCGGTCTGGCTGGTGCTATTTCTTTTCACATCTTCAGTTCTTTAGCAATAACCAAAACAAGAAGCACTGTGTTGGTGAGTGGTGGTGTTGCCTCAGCTCCTGACTCACAAAGGAGAACAGAGGTGAGCCTGAGAGGGCAGGAAGTGTGCCTAGTGGGGAGAAAAGAAAGAAGGAAGTGGGTGGGGCTGGCCCTGCACCCCATCTCCATCCTTCCTTGGCACTCATGAAGGGGAGACAGCCAGAAACTCCAGGGTGACATCACCTCCTCCCCACGGCCACCCTATAAGGAGGTGGATGAGGTTGCCCTGGGCAAGGTCTAGGCAGGTCCTGGGGTGGAGGTAGAGCTGGGGAGGGACCATGTCCCCAGTGACCGGGGACTGGGAGGCTGGAAGTGGGCTTCCGTCGGGGGAGGGGCGGGTCAGCAGTGCCCGGTGGGCTCTGAGGAAGAGGAAGTGCAGTGCCTCTGGGTTTCTGTCTCCACCCACCCGAGTGGGGGGCTGGCTTGGTCATTAAGATCCCAGAGATAACCCGGAGAGTGCACTGGAGGGAGCGGCTGCGTAATACTGAGGAGATGGGACAGTGGGCTTAGGGAAGGGAGTCAGGCGGCTGAGCGGAGCCTGGAATGGACAGCGGGGCCAGGATGGCTTGAGACCTGGTGGCGGGCAGCCGGCTCCAGAAACCCACGTGCGCGTCATAGGAGCGCTCGGCAGGCCGGGTCCTAGACCTGGACTCGGAGGCCAGCGAGGCCGGGCTGCCGGGGCCGCGGGGGC